CTACCACTCTACCACGACTACCACTACTACTACTACTACTACTACTACTACCACTACTACTACTACTACTACTACTACTACTGCCACTACTGCGACTACCACTACCACCACCACCAAAACCACCACGACTACTACTACCACTACTACTACTACTACTACTACTACCACTACTACTACTACTACTACTACTACTACTGCCACTACTGCGACTACCACTACCACACCACCAAAACCACCACGACTACTACTACTACTACTGCTACTACTACTGCTGCTGCTGCTGCTGCTGCTGCTGCTGGTAGGGGGCGAAGGCTGAGTTGGATGCACAGCGACAGTAAGATGTTTGTGCGGTCTTGCTTGCTTGCTTGCTTGCTTGCTTGCTTGTTTTTTATTTATGCTTTTCCTTCCTTCCTTTGTTAAACGATGGATGTTACAGTTTTTTAGCTGTGCAGGCTGCTAGCATTGTGAAACTTGCTCGTAGTCTTGATGTCGGAACTTTGGTGAGTTTCCAGTCCGGTGTTTTGAACATGTGCTGCCTTGGATTTTTAGTTTTGCACCGGGAAGTTTCGAAAGTGTAGACCTTCAGCCCTATTTTCTTTGGCTTCCAAGGACTTTGCTGCTGTGTCGGAGCCGGCGAGGACATGGACGTAGTGTGCGAAGTGCCCACGTCCACAACGACGACTCGCACAGAAACAACCAGCACTTCCTCGACACAGACGACGACCAGTGAAACTCAAACGACATCCACCTCTTCCACTTTCTCAGCGACTACTACAGCCACTTTCAGCAGTACCACTTCAACCAGCTCGTTGACCGAGACAAGTCAAACCACAACCTCCGTGACTGCGACGACGCAAACTGAAACCACCACGTCCTTCCTGACCACGTCTTCAACCGTCACCACGCGCCGTTCTCAGAGAGTTTTCTCTTCAACATAGTTTGCAGCAGTCTTGTCAGGCGCCTTTTGCTGAGACTTTAAGACAGATCTTCACATGAACCTTATGCATCCCTGCTGTTTCGTGTTTCAACAAGTCCTGATGTTGCTTGGATTCGATCTCGTGTTTGCAGTGGCCATACAGTGCACTGGTCTGGAGCCGGCTTGCGTGGTGTGCTGGACTAGCACAACTCGCACATAAGGTTCTTATACCTCGCCTGTCACCAGCCACGAACCTTCGCACACTCTCGTCTAATGCAGTCAGATGCTGCCTTTCCTGGGGTTCTGTTGGCCGTTGGGGTCTGGGGCCTTGAAACCTTTGGTGGGCACAGGCTTCAGGCCCACTAAACCCTAAACCCTATACCCCTAAACCCTAAACCCTAAACCCCAAAGCCCTAAACCCTCTAAACCCACTAAACCGTTTCTTAATGTGCAGCCGGGCCCATCGCCTCGTACAGTTCTGCTGCACAAGTCTAAGTCCCGAGGCAGACAACGACGAGTGAGCCTTGGCAGGAAGACAGTTAGGTCCATTCTTCCACGGCGACGTCAGTTCGGGTTGTTGTCTCTTTCGGAAAGCTGTTCACAACCGTCATGCTTAGTAGCTACAGGCCACAAGCGTCGGTGCCGCTATCATGGTCATGGGAGTCATAGTCATTTGATTTATGTTTTTACGCTTGTTCGCATCATGTGCTTTGTCGTAACGGCTACAGTGACTAGAGGCAATACTGCAGTCTTCAACAGGAGTTGTGTGAGAAGCGTGTCTTGCTACTGATACTACAGATGTTCGCAGTGTCCCTCTAGTTGCTTTTTGTCATGAACATAGGTCTGCTTAATGAGTATTATTCTCGGTATGCTGTTTTGTTCCTTGTATTGCTCTTCTCGTTATGTTAAGTCTGCTGCAGCTGCGAATCATCAACATCATCATCATCGTCATCATCACCGTATCATCAACACCATCATCCTCATAATCACCATCATCATGAGCAGCATTTTTAACATCATCACCATCATCATCGCGTCTTTTTGCAGACATCCATATAGTGTTCATAGTATGACGCTCCTCATCTTTTGCATATGATAGTAGCTCTCGTACTTGTAGTCCTCGGCCCCATGTCAGGGCTCAAGGCTTACGCCTTTGGCCCCGGCCCTGTAGGGACCGCGACGAGCCTCACCCCGCTGATGTGCGGGGAGTTTGCGGATATGAAGTTGAAGTTCAAGCTTCCTGCTAAGGAGACGGTGACCACACAGACAACCACCTCTGCCACGGTCACTACGACGACCATGACCACAACAACCGGAATGACGGCTGTGCTGCAGTTTTCGGCCGCATGTCTGCATGTAAATTGTCACGGCAAATTGGGGTTTGGAGACTCGACAAGAATTTTGACTGATTTTGGGCTCTGTGGATATCTCGTGTTGTTATGGTGAGTCGTCAGCATGTGGCTCAGAGCTTGTTGGCATGACGCGAAACTTCTCGGTTCTAGTTGAAGCACAGTCCTGGAGTCTGAGCCCCTCCTTCCATATCGAAAGCTGCAAGGCTTGGACCCAGCAAGATAAATCCTGGAGTCTAAAAATCTAGAATTCTAAGAGGCCGTCAGGCACATCGAACATGGAATGGTCTTGGGCCTAGGTCCTCATGAACTAGGCGTGTGTCTGAGGGGTTGCGGGCTTTGGGGTTCAGGTTTTCTGGGTTTGGATCAAGGGCTGCCGAGGCACAGCACACGAAAGGATCAAGGATCTCCCGCTTCTGTGTACATGTGCGCGATAGTGAAAACGTGCCCTTGTCTAGGATGAATGCTGCGCAGCCCCTTGTTTAGGGTGATGCTACGGAGCGACTTAAGCCCCACATCCCTAAAACTCGAAGCCGGAACCGCAGTGGAGAGCCGAAGCTCACAACCCAGGTCTCCGCCGGCGACACGGTGCCGCTGGGCGGAGTTATGGGCTTCAATGAGATAGTTTGAGGGCTCAGGATCTGCGAGTTTACAGGAATCTCGGAGCTGAAGGAGAATCAGGTTCTCAGGTCTTTAGGTCGGGGGGTCTTGGTTCAGGTGCAGGATTCTGTCGAGCGCTCTTTTCTAAGGGTCCCGAGCTCGGTTCTAAGCCCGAAACTTTCCCTAAATCCTGAAACCTCAACACTGAAGCCACGACACCGAAACCCGGCTCTCTAAGCCTGAAAAACCTTGGTCAACCCTCTAAAGCCTGAACACCCCTAAACTCTAAACCCTAAACCCTAAACCGTTTAGGGTTTAGGGTTTAACACTGAAGCCACCGTCTGGAGGGCCCGAGACTGGCTGAGGCTCATTGTGGACAGCAACGCTGGCTTCAGCATCGGTGACATCATCCGCATCTCGCGGCCGAGTCAGCCCAGGTTCTACGAGTTCGTGCCCCGGAATGCAGCAAGACGTAGAGCCTTCTAAGGGTTTAGGGTTTCTATTAGCACGGTTTACTCTTCAGACGTTTTCGGTTTTTGAGCGCTTTTCTGGATTTTTTTTGGGATTTTATGTGGCTGCCACAAGAGCTGATACGGTTGCAGCAGGTGGTATAGTGTGGGGTTCTAGAGACAGGTCTATGGAGTTTCGCTGGGGAACCCGAGTTTAAGCTGCCATGTTTGAGACAAAGCACGCCATTTTACTATGCTGACGGTAAGTTACATGCAGTCGCACAGGAAGGACCCAGGCTTCTTAAGAAGACAGTGGGGCTTTAGGGGTCCTAAGCCCAATTTTCCCAAGAAGGCCGCGCTCCTGCTTTTGAAACCTAAGCAGCTGAGGGCTTTCGTACGGAGTTCAGGGTTTAGCATTTCCAGTTCATGGGACACCCCACCCATGCAAGCGACAACCTCCGCCCGAAAAGTCGGAGCAGGGCATGCGGCTTGTCAAGGCTAAGGCTTAAGCCATCGCTGAAGACACCCCGAGCCCCAAACCCCACCCTAAGCCCTAAGCCCCAAACCCTAAACCCGAAGCAGAGATTCGGCAGCTTCAAGTGTACCGCACCCACAAAGCCAGGAGCCGAAATCCTAAACTTGGATACTCCCCCCACTCAGTAACAGTTGAGCAATACTTATAAGATAGATATGTAAGGCCCGTAACTAGTACCCCTTATACAGGACTGTTACTGCATGGGGGCAGTACCCAACATAAATCCAAGGTTGAGATCACGGCTTTCGGAACCGTTACGATTACGGCGAGGCAAGAATGCACAGCTTGTGGCAACTAGTCACGCCCCCCCGGAACCCTGAGCCCGCGCCCAAAAAAATGGAGTCAGAGGTCCTCAACTCCATAGTTTTTCCTCGACCGTGAGGCCTAAACTAAACTCTAAATCCCGCTTGTGACTCTATGAGTTCACGACGGCTGGGCGATTTCAGGGGGTAGAGGGGCTTCGGATTTCGGATGTGTGGAACTGTTCAGCGGTTAGTTAGCATGAGCGGTCATGTCAAGCTCTTGTTGGACAGAGGGATTGTTTTCATGTTCACATTTGTGCTTGCATGGTGCTCGTTAAGCTTACTACATGTCCAACAGCAGCATCGGCAGCCGATTTCCCCAACCGAATCCCAAACTGAGTCGCCACAGCCAAAGACACTGAAGAACAGAGGCCAGGGCATGTGATAACAAAAACTTGAAGCTTCTGTTTGGCATTTGTGGAAGTATGTCTCGCTTGGTGGCTTGGTGTTGAATAGTTCTACCTGCAAAAACTTGTGCAGCTTTAAAAATGGGTTATTCTCTCCGTCCTCAGAGTAATTCGGCACGATCATCTCACGAAGAATCTAGGATCATGGGGTTGAGGCTTTTGAACGGCTTTTGAGCCAGGACGACCAAGATCGATCTAGAGTTTGACGTAAGGACTTTCTGCTATCTTGACCAGGCGTTTGACGACCTACAGCACTTGGACGGTGGCTGTGCTGCAAGCCTAGACCCCAAACCTGAAAGGAGAGCGAGATTCTCTTCAACTTTACATCTAAACGCCTCTAAGCCCCAAGCCCTACCTGTAGCCGGAAAGACCTACCTTTTTCGGGTTCCTTATTATGGTTTCTATATATAGTTCCTTAAAAATGTAGGTCTTTTCGGTTACAGGCAAACTTTCCTAAACGAACTTATAAAGAACCTCAGAGGCACAGATCCCTATACCTCTTGCAGCCGCACTCGAAGGAAGCGGCGTTCGGGATTCGGTCAGGGGGCGGCTGGTCGAGCTCATTTTGGGCTTTTCCTTCTGCCTAGAGCCCTGCGAATTCGCTACCCGACGGTTTCGGGTTCAGGGCCCCTTCATGAACCCTGACTGGCCCTGAGCCCCAAGCCCCAAATTGCGTATGCTCTTGCTTCCAGATCTCGCCGCCTTTGGAGAACGCCTACGGACCAGGCACGGTGCCCGGCTGGACGGAGTGTGGGCCGTGTCCGGAGCCCGAAACCCCACGAAAGCCTTAAACCCTGAACCCCGTGTAAGCCCTACGTCCGACCTTCAACCCTCAAACGCTAGGTAAACCCGAGGAGACCCTAGACAGTCGCGCGCTATATACTTCTGCAAACCCTGTATTAAACCCGAACTCATGAAGTGGCACTCCGAAACCCTCCGAAGGGGCCGCCATCCAGAACTACGGGCCAGCGAGCTCCTTTACCGGGGGGGACCCGGTCACTTACTTCGGTGCCTTGGTTTGCGGTCTACGGCGTGGTGGCTTCTAGAACATACATTATAATTACAATCTATTTAAAAAATCATAATATGATATTGATATGATAAGATACAATGTAATATGGTACTACATGATATGACATGATGTGGTGTGTTATGATATGACATGATATGATAATATATGACATATTATATTGTTTCAGTACAGCATGTATACAATATACAATATAAGATTTCTACAATGTAATATTTCTACTACAATACAATATTCTTGTAAGATATACTTGTAGCAGTTCATCCAGAACATGGAAGCCGGACAACATAACCAACATTTTTTCCTAGGTTTCCTGATTCAAATTTCAGTATAAGATCACCAGAACCTCTTCTAATCATTGAGGCGGCTATGTTCGGCGCAGTGGGCAGAAGTTAGGGAGGGTACACGGCCAGTAGGGGTTGCATGGTTTTGCGGGTTTGGATGTTGAGAAAGACTATTGGGGTTTGATGAGGTTTAGGGTCCTGGGGTTTTGGGGAGCTTTTAGGAACTGGGGTTCTTGGATTTAAGAGCTGTAGGGTTTTGGAGCGTTTCGGGATTTGGGAAGTACGTGGGTGCTTCTTGGGTTGGCAGGGTGCAGACTTTGTCGATTCCTGAATTTGTTTTTTTTGGCTTGAGTCTTTAGTGTACGGTGTTTGCTTTTCGGCTTTTTTGGTTTAGTTAGGGTTGTTTTGGCACTTTGGGCTGATACTAGGGAAGGTAGCCTTGGACTGAGTGGTGCTTTCAGATTTGCGGTCTTTGCTCTAGGAGGTCTCATTGCTTCTTCAGCACCGCATGCAATCTTTTGTCAGGGTTTCGTTAGCCTTAGTTGCTTGGTTTTGTCATCTTTAGGTTGGGTTTCTGGGTCGAGGGTGAGAAGTTCGGACTCTTGGGAGAGAGGTCTTTTTCGTGGAGCTTGCTAGGTTTCATTCTGTTCAGAGCACTGGCTTAGTTTGGGATTTAGGAAGGTGGTAGGGATTTCTGAGCCCTTGCCAAACGCCAGTTTTGGGGTCCTGCAAAGGTCGTGAGGGCCCTGTAATAATATATTTCGTGCGTCCTTATGCCTTCGCTTGGGAGGGCTCATAAGTTTGGGAGGTTGCAGCTAAGCCATAAAGACTAACCCCTAAAACCCTTAAAAACCTTACGTAAACCCTAAACCCTATGAACCCTAAACCCTATAAACCCTATAAACCCTATAAACCCTATAAACCCTATAAACCCTGAACCTTATAAACCCTATAAGCCCTATAAACCCTAAACCCTAAACCCCCAACCATCGCCCAGGTGGGCAGAAGTGGAAGTTCTGGCTTCCCTTGCGGCAGGAGCTGCTTTTACTGGCCACGCCAGTGCCTCGCCTGCAACTTTAGGGTTTTAGGGTTTAGGGTTTTAGTGGTTTAGGGGTTTAGGGTTTAGGGGTTTAGGGGTTTAGGGGTTTAGGGGTTTAGGGGTTTAGGGTTTCAGGGTCTTCCCCCGGTCGCGAGGCGACGTGGGGATAGGGCCTTTAGGGGTTTATAGGGCTCCGGAAGCCTCAACCATGAAGCAATGAAGCCGAAAGCCTCCGGTAAGATTTAAGCCCGGAAGCCCCCTAAAACCCTCAACATCGGAAGCATCTGCGGCTAAGCCCTAGACCCCCGAACGCCAAAAGAGAAAGCCTTCAAAAGACCCCCGAGCCCTTGCTGAGGACTTGCGCCTCTATGGCCGCGTCTTCCCAGGAACTCCTGCAAAGCTCAGTGAAAGCTGAAGCACCGGGTTTAGGGTTTCGGGTTGTGGGGTTTAGGCTTAGGGTTTAGGTTGCAGGGTTTAGGATTTGCTCGGATTTAGGGAAGCCCGAAACTCAAAATTGTTGAGATAGGGCTCTGGGATTCTAGGTTTCGTGTCTGTCACTGCCTCCGGGCGTACAGCAGAGTGCTTTGAGTGTTTACGCGTGGGTATGGGGCGCTCGCCCATGAGAATTCAAGGGTTTGGGATTTAGTGTAGGCTTCAGTGTAAGGTGACGTGTGGGGTGGACGAGTCGTCCGCTTTCTCGGCCCTGTCCCACACGAAATGTCGCCGCGCATCCCCCAAATCCCTCAACCCTCGAGCCAGAACCTACGCCGCAAAGCCCAGAAACCAAAGGCGAACCGCCCTCATGCATGGATCCCTGCACCCAAGCCGAGAATCTTGAGGCTTAGAGCTCTTTAGACAAGCTTCGGAGCCTCGGCCCTGAACACTCAAACTCTCACTCTGCCCTAGGAATCCCAGCTCCTCCCACTCGCCTCGGCAGGACCCCAAATCGATCAGCAATGGTTCGATTACTTCATGGTGGCCCTGCCGGACGACACGCCCATTGCCACAGCCGCCTGGTGGGGATTACACCTTAGGGTTGCCAGTTGTAGGTCTCAGAGTACGAACCCTATGATTGCAATATGACTGTCTGTGGGTTTGAGGGTCCAGATTCATCTTCGACCCGAGAAATGCCATGTTGCAAGTCGTTGAAGTGAGTGTTCTCCTAGGGTGCAGTGCACGGCTCATGGGAATTCTTCATACACACCCTGAATCCTAAAGCCTGCATCTCTGGGAACATCCATTGCATTGACAAGCACCCTGCACCGGAAACCCACACTTTACACCCAAAGCCCTAAACCGCAACAGCCACCTGCCCTAACACCCTAAACCCTAAGCCCTACACTAAGCCCTACCCGAAACCTTGCTCGCTAAGCCAAAGGTCCGGGTGAAGCCGCACTCCAACCGAACTCTTGCCGCCTCCCGGCGATGTGGCTCCAAGCGGTTTGAGATGCTGGACATCTTCCTGGGAGCCTTGCTATATTTCGAAAAAAGTGTATTGTTTTAGGTTGGGGTTATACTTAGGGATTAGGTTTTTTTGAGTGTGCAGTGTTTATTTATGTTATACTTGTTATCCTTTCTTACGACTGGGGTGTAATGGTTGTCCAACGCGAGTTTCAGGGTGTACGGTGGAATTCGGGGTGTATCGGAGTACTTGGCTGTCTACCGAGAGTATGAGAATCTGAACGTCCCTCTTAAGGGCGAGTTTGATTCACGGCGCTGGTGCTCTCGTGTACTGCCTCTTTCATAAGACCAGTGCTGCTTCTTTCGAGAATCGCCCTTGAAAGACCGAAAGTTTCGAAGTTTGCGAGTGCAACTTACCCTAAATCTCAAAACCCCTAGACCCAAAGCCCCAAAAAACCCACATACCGCTGACTTTCTTCTCGATTTTTCGGTGACTTTTGCTCGTGGGGACAACCACGCCCATGGCACCCGGCAGGGGAGATCCGAAAGCGAAAGCCCTGAATCCCAACACCTGACCCTAAACCCTAAACCCTAAACCCTAAACCCTAAACCGTAACCGTGAAGCAGCACAGGGCCCTTTCTTTCACAGAAGGCATGGACTGTCGAGCCCTTCGACAGCACCAGCCCAACCCCCAGCCTTGCGGCTTCCTCTGGTATCCCTCGGGATTCAGGGTTTAGGGTTTAGGTTTTAGGGTTTGGGGTTTGGGGTTTAGGGTTTAGGGCACAGCATAGGGCGTTGTAGTCAGTTGACATCACGCGGTACTCCTTGAATCCCCTGGAACGAGCCTCAAGAAAATCTTTCAAGGAAGTGGCGGCAGGCCGCTCAAGGCCTTGGAGTTTGAAGGTGTTAGGCTTGAGGGTTGAGGTTTAGAGCCTCTGGATCCAAGGGTTCAGGGTGTTGCAGTGACGACTGCGAGGTTCAATGTTTGGATCTGTACTTGCTTGCATCAACCGTTGTGTGTCACAGAGTCACGGGTCTTGCGAGGGATCCGGTTCTGGCCCACCTGGCCGAGGTTCGGGCTTCTCTGCACCCTGACGTCCAAGCCCCCAGCCCCGAACCTTCATCGCTCCATGGAGCGTGGAAGTGGCGAACACCGTTAAAGGAAGCAGCCGAGGTTCTTGAGCGTTTGGAATGTTAGACTCTGCGCAGGGCGTGTTGCTTCAGATGCTAAACCTAAACCCGAAACCCTGTACACGTTTGCCTACTGGAGAAGCGGTTTATCAGGCTTAAGAAAACAGGTATAGGCCTTCTATAAGGGTTACTATAAGGATTGCCGTAAGGTTACCATCATGACTGCTGAGTATATCAGCATGCTTCTCGCCGTTGCTTGCATTCCAAGATTGGCTCTGGGATCCCAAGTCTGAAACTGCCGGCGTCGTCAACCTTCTTTCCGAAGGGCGATGTCAGCAGAAACAGTATAGCTTTTCGTATGTCGCCACCACTATGGTGATCGTGATGATCATTATCCTCCTCCTTATCAGCATGATGACCATGACGATCCTCAGCATCAGGCATTGGCTAGAGTATGAGTAGAGTATGAGTGTTGGAAGGAAGAATCCGATGGATACTCCATGTTTTGTTCGTTCGTGCGGTTTGAGGCAAGTTTCCGTGCGTTCGCAGGTTTATGCTTTATCACGGGAAATCAAACTGATGCGCCTAAAGCCGGAGCTTTCAAAGCAACCCTTGAGCCGAAGACCTGCCTTGGCAGGAGATGAGAAAGATGGAGTACACGGCAAAGTCGATTCGATTCGAGATCAACTGCCGGAATCAGGCTGCACCTGCCATGTTTGGAGGATCTTGTAGTGTGGCTCTTCCCTTCTCCTGACGCCTGTGCTTCCATTGACGCCACCACCGCCACCGCCACCACCACCACCACTGCCACGACGACGACGACTACTACTACTGCTGCTACTGCTACTGCTATGACTACGATTACGACTAGGACTACGACTACGACTGCTACTGCTACCGCTATACCGTAGCATTAGCAATACCAGCCGCATTAGCAACCGCAGTAGCAGCAGCAGAAGCAGAAGCGGCCTTCCTCCCTTCCCATGCTTTGATCACAGGCCGCCCGGACAGAATACCTTTATTTCGAAACACCGTCTCTTGGCAGAGAGTCTTGAAAGCTTAGGGGCTTTATGGCTTGAGGGTTTAGGGTTTGAGAGCTGGGCTGAGGGCTGTTTGACAGGACACCGGCGCCCTAATCAATGCTTTTTTCATCGCGATGTTAGGATTCAGGGTTTTGGGGCTAGCATGCTAGCTCTCTGTCCCAAAACCCTATTCAAGCCCGGGATTCATAGTAGGGGGTGTTCAGTCTGTAGGGGATTCGCAAAAAGCTCCGGGTTGCTAGGAGATCCCGGGGCCCTGAGCCCGAAACCCGAAGCCCGAAACCCCAAAACCTTGCGAAACCCCTACAGAAAGGGCTGCGGTGGGTTTAGGGTTTAGGGTTTGGGGTTGACAAGTTTAGGGTTTAGGGTTTAGGGTCCCCTAAACCCTAAGCCCTGCAGCCTCGAAGAAAGGTCGATCGTTTTCGTCATCACGTCGAGCCACGCCGGGGTCGACTTCCGAGACGACCCGCTGTGACCTGACTTTGGGTGTTGCTGCTTAGGGTTTAGGTCTTTTGGGTGGGCAGGTAGGGGTTTCAGGTTTCAGTATCCTCTAGGCTTAAGCCCTAAACCCTAAACCCTAAACCCCAAACCCTAAACCCTAAACCCAAAAGCCCTACCTTGCACCCTTGCTTGGGGTTTGTGCGGTTTCTGTCTGCCGAGCTTTTGACTTGTTGCTGCCAGCCGACGGTTCTATCGGCGCTTTCCCAAAACTGTGGTATCAGAAAACTGCAGGGGAATAAGATCCTAAACCCTAAGCCCTAAACCTTAAATTAGCATTAAGGCCCCCCATACTAAGGTTGAGTGCAGAGACCCTCAAACCCGACGTGGCTGAACCTTCCAACCAGGGGTCTTTTCAGGGCTTGTCGGAGTGGTCTTACATTGTTCTAGGTTCGCGTGTTTGCTTGTAGATTTGTATAGCTTCTTCTAGGGTTCAACATAGCGGGCCACCCATGTATGCCACCCCTAAACCTTGAAAAGCAGACTCCTATAGCCTGAGAGTTGCGCTTAGAGTTGAGGGCTTAGGGTTCAGCCAGCCTTGTT